TGCATCATTGCATTTTTTTACGTAAATTATAACACGAACAGACAAGACTTTTGTGTCAATGAAAAACAAACAAAACTTCTTCAGGAACAGTGTTAATCTTGATTTCATTCTGAAATTTAAATTTTTCAAGCAAAACATTAAATTTATAAACATTTCTAGTTATTTTCTTATATATATATATATATATATATATTATATATATACAATAGCGAAAAAAACAGCAAAAAAGATCATATTCGATTGGTTAATTAAAATCATTCTTTTTAATTCAGTTTTTTTTTTTTTAACTTTTTTAAATTAAACAAGAATGAGACACATTTGTGTGTCAAAACAAAGAGATGGATTTTGAAATGTTTTTGGATAATATATTGCATATATTTGATTTTTTATTCTTTTCAAAAATGGAACTCGCATGATTACATTAGATCCATGATAAAAATCTTAATGATAAAAATTTGATTGGTCTTTTCCAGGTCGCACGATACATGAAAGATCGTGCCGTTCTCTGTAATAAAGAAATTGTCTCTTACCCTTGCCACATATAAGGTATTCAATATAAACAGATTATATGCAAAAATATATATATATATGATTCACACATCAGACATACAATCCACACAGACACACACTTTAAAACAGAAAAGAAAAAAATAGTAGACACACACACACACACAATAAATCCATCTTTATTTCATAACACATTGTGTAGACACACAGAAATTAACAAAGCAAATACAAGACATAAAATGTAAACAAACACCATTATTAAAACAAAATATATATATATATATATATATGAATGTGTGAAACAAAGGACAAAAAATTGATTTGACTATATTATTTGAAGAGATACACAGAAAGAGCGTGAAACCCAGGGTCACAAACTCACATCAATCCAACCAAAATATCTATATCTATATCTATATATATATATATATATATATATATATATATATCTATATATATATATAGTTTTAAGGTATGCTATATTTATTGGTTAATATGCTCAAAATCCGGGATAGAGTGTATGTAAATAAAATGGTGGACATTGAGGTCTTCACCCAGCGGCGACAGTCTGTTTCATGCTTAAGCGCATCATTGCGTTTAAGGTATATATATATATATATATATATATATATATATATATATATATATATATATATGTCCTGCACAAGGCCTTCACCACTATAAACAAATCTCATGTGCCGGTGTCGGGATGTCGGTTTCCTTGGGACTTATCGGCCTGACCCTCATACGTCGAACGCGACGGGAGAGTCGATTATATATAAATATAGGTAACTACACTTGTCTCGGAAAATCTTCGGTTTCTTGATTTGCTAATGGTCAACTCAATCTCGAAGGAAAAAGTTTTTAAAAAAAAGAATGAGCTAGGAACATGAACGTCTGTCAAAAATGATCATACAGCATACAGGTCCAAAGCCCAAAAAAAAAAAAAAACGAGTAATCAACTAACTTAAAGTGCTCAATACAAAAGTAGAGCAGATCTAGTACGTAGGTTTGTCTGGCTCTCTAGGTTTGACTATATATATATATATATATATATATATATATATATATATATATATATATATATATATATAGATAGATAGATAGATAGAGAGTGAGAAAGATAAATACAAACTTAATGATCATAGACAGATATGAATAGACTGAGATAGATATAAAAAGCTGAAATAGATAGATATAGGAAGATTGAGTTAGTGAGATTATTATTATCATTATCATTATTATTATTATTAAAGACAACAGACATTTTGTGCCGATTAATTTTATTGATCAACTTTTTTAAAGTATGAAAGATCCGTTTCAATTGTAGCAAATTCTGTCAGAAATTGTTTGAAGTTCATTTCGGAAATTATAAGGTTCAAAGTTTCGACTTTCTTAAGTTATCATCAGGGTCGTTATAGACAAATGGTGAATTGTTGAAATGTAGCAAAAAAGTGTTTTTTTTTGTGGTTAGGTGTGACGGGTGTATTTTTTCAATTTATTTTATCTTTTTATTTATATGGATTGAGAAAGCGGGCTTTTAAATTTCTACGTCACAACACTCTTTTCCTACAAAACAAGGCAATAATGCCATTAAGACGCAAGGGTCTACTGAGAGAGAAAGGAAAAGAGTTTAAAAGATGCCGGAAACCTAATCCTAAACAGGAAAGAAGCGATAAAACTGCTCATGTTAAAAAACAGGGGAGGAATGTGAACCAGACAATAGGCGAACCTATCTACTACGTTAGACGTATAGGGCTGAAGTAGACTTTAGAAGGAAACCTGAAATACAATCCTAAAGATGAAACAAGGGATAAACCCCGACTCCTGTTCAAAAGAGAGGGAAGGAGTATGAACCAGACCATAGGCGAAGCTCTCTACTACATTAGTGGTACAGAGTTGAAGTAGACTTTAGAAGGCACTGAAAACCTGATCCTAAACAGGAACAAGGGATAAACATCTACGCCTGTTCAAAAGACTGCGGAGAAGTGTAAACCGGGCGATAAGCAAACCCCCTATTTGAGGGAGGGGAATAAGTTGTAAATAAAATGTCAGAATAGGTGGAGAAGTATAAAGTTGAAGTAGACTTTATACTTCTAAGGTCGCCGCCTCAAGTTTAATCATTTCCTCCTAAGCAAGGCGATAATGCCACTAAGATGGAAAAGGGGATAGAGGAAGTGAAAGAGACTTAAAAAGAACCGGAAACACAATTCTAAACAGGAAATAAGGTGTAAACCTGTACTTCTCTTTAAAAGATGGGGGAGGAGTGTGATATATATTCACATTTATTAGCTCATCGAACAGAAGCCTGTTGTGTCCTGGGTCGACCAGACACAGACATACTGGTTTCAATCAGTGTATCCCTTGTAAATTAGTGACTTTATCTCCTTACTTGGGGAGAAATGTATTTTTTTAAAATTATACGATCACATTCCGAATTTCGATACAATTTCATGCTGGCTCTTCCATACGAGGATCTATTTTTGTCATAGCGTAAATGTGACAGCTCTTGGAGTAAGAGGCACTGAGAACTTAACAGTTTTATATACAAGTTTAAAATTCCATTGAGTAATTATCAGTTGGTACATCTTTATTTGATGTAAACTCAGATGTCAAAGCAGATAGACAGTACCTATTTAAATGCTGTCATGTTTTCTTGCTGAAACTGATTTATCATTGCCATGTTAAATTCTTCAATCATCAAGAAGACAAACTAAAAAATATGTTTTTGAATATTCGTTGCATTTTATTATAGCAAGAGTAATATAAAATTAGAAAAAAATGAAAATATGAACATTTTTTATTTTAATTTTTAATGGCTGGCGGGAAGAAATTTTTTTATTTCTTTTGTTTTCGAATGTAGTTTGGAAGTGTATAGTTGAATGTTTGCCAAAAATGAAATTTATATATTCAAAATTGTCTCTTAACGAAGTGAATGATTTTCAGGACAACTTTATGTTATTAATGGCGATACACACAATAATTTTATGCGGCATATTGTTTAAAATTGTTTCAGCATTATGAAGTTTTGTGCAAAGATATATCTCTCATATCTTCATATGAATTGGTGAAAAAATGTAATACGCGGGCACACACGTACACACACACATACACACACACACGCACACACACACACACACACACACACATATATATATATATATATATATATATATATATATATATATATATATATATTTGACTTATATGTTATTTTCATAGATACAAATATTTAAGTAAATGCTATGTTTATAATAAACAGTATTAACAACATTTACCGGCCATTTAACTCTACTCATCAAACGCCTCATCTATAGCGAAATGGTATAAAATGTAAGGCGATATGGCTGTTCCGTATAGGATACAGGTTCGATTCCTGTTGGGGTACAGCAGAATTTTTTCTTTGAGATTTCTCTGATATTCAGGTCGGTAAATGTTATACCTTTTATTATAAATAGAGCATTTAATTAAATATTTGTATAACGTAAAATCAAAAAATGTAGTAAAGTAATTGCCGGACTCCATTTCATTTCACACACATACACACACACACACACACACACACACACATATATATATATATATATTGTTATCCACAGACAGAATGTTTCGCTGTATCGCAGCTCATCAGTGTGGTTAGGCATTCGATTGCATGAAAAATGGCTTGAAACCCGACAGATTTGACATATCAGACCGCTGAGCTACCCATGAAGTAGAAAGGAAGGCGGATTTTTACGTACTTATTCTTCGAATAAACACTCCAATGACCGACAGGGTTCAATTCATAGAAGAGCTTTGCAGTATTAACAGTAGTAGCGAATGTTTACAAATTCGCGATTTCTTTCAAGAGTGCTCGGCCGGAATTAAATATTCAGGGGGCATATTTGGGCAGAAATCCCTCTTTTATGTAAGTTTCGTTGAAAATAACTAGAATGGTGCTATGCTTAAGTATTCTATATAATTTCTCATATGTTCGAAAAATTTTCCTCTTTTCAGGACTTAAATTATATAAAAATTGTCCGAATGTTTCCTAAGCGCTTTCAGCTATACCTTTAGCCATCATAAAAGATGAATTTTATTTTACTTTTAACTGAATACATGCGTTGTTTTATGTATGTATCAAGAGTTACAGGAATGTGAAAACCGTGTTTTGAAAATAAAACATTCCTATAACTATGGAAAATTTGGGACGAAAGAAAAACATAAAACAGACGATGAGAGAGAATGAAAACAGGAATATGTAAAATATTTAAACGAAGGAAGAAAAGGGGGAAGGAAGGAAGGAAGTTAAGGAAGGAATGAAGGAAGGAAAGGAATGAAGGAAGTTAAGGAAGGAAGTTAAGGAAGGAAAAGAAGACAGGAAGTTAAGGAAGGAAAAGAAGACAGGAAGTTAAGGAAGTAAGGAAGGAAGGAAAGGAAGGAAGTCAAGGAAGGAAGGAAAGGAATGAAGGAAGTTAAGGAAGGAAGTTAAGGAAGGAAAAGAAGACAGGAAGTTAAGGAAATAAGGAAAGAAAGGAAGTAAATGAATGAAGGGAAGGAAGATAAGGAAGGAAGTCAAGGAAGGAAGTTAAGGAAGAAAGCAAGGAAAGGAAGTTAAGGAAGGAAGGAAGGAAGGAAGGAAGGAAGGAAAGTAAATCAAGGAAGGAAGTCAAGGAAGGAAGGGGGAAGGAAGTTAAGGAAGGAAGGAAGGAAAGGAAGGAAGAAAGGAAAGGAAGGAAGTTAAGGAAGGAAGAAAAGGAGGAAGTTAAGGAAGGAAGGAGGAAGGAAAGAAGGAAGGAAAGGAAAGGAAGGAAGGAAGTTAAGGAAGGAAGGAAAGGAAGGAAGGAAGGAAGGAAGGAAAGAAAGGAAAGAAGGAAAGGAAAGAAAGAAGTTAAGGAAGGAAGGAAGAAAAGGAAGGAAGAAGGAAGGAAGGAAGGAAGGAAGGAAGGAAAAGGAAACGAAGGAAAGAAGGAAGAAGGAGGAAGTTGAGGAAGGAAAGGAAGGAAGGAACGAGAGTAACTAAGGAAGGAAGGTAGGAAGGAAGGAAGAGAGGAAAGGAAGGAAGGAAGGAAGGAAGGAAAGAAAAAAATTGATGGAGAGCAATGAATGAAGGAAGATTTTGGAATTCTTAAAATTGACTCAAAGAATAAAAGGCTGGACAAATGAAAAATGAAGAAGTATACCAAACTGGGCCAGAATAATTAATGCCCTGGCGATTTCAAGAACGTCAAATAGGATTCTTGTTGCTGACCCTGGCAACTTATGCGCCACGGATGCCAAAACAACTGAATCGGAAGTTGGTATGACGCCATATTTAATAAAATGTATACCAAAGAAATCTCTTATTGTGTGCATTCAAATTCTGATACGCCAGACAGTAGGGGACAGGGCATTCTATTGATATGTCTGAAGAAAATTGTTTTGATGTGAAAAAACCTCAAAGATCTTTAATTATTTCTTTAAAGAAAGAGAATTATATATATATAAATATATATATATATATATATATTACAATGAATCATTCATACAAAAAGTAGATTAGTAAAGTTAATGATATAAAATGGCGAAATCCATTCGCTAACAAAAAAAAAGAAATCGACGATATATATATATATATATATATATATATATATATATATATATATATATATATATATATATATAGTTTTTCCAACATTTCGTGGGAGTAAGTGAGTATTTTCCATTGCCCCAAGCGTTTTCTGTCACTTCTTTAGGCATTTTAGTTTTTTTTTTAGGTGTTTTTAACTTATTTTCATATTTGACTGTTTACGATAGATAGATAGATAGAAAGCAAGAAAAATAGAAAGAAAGAAAGAAAGAAAGAAAGAAAGTAACTTAGATAGAAAGGAAAAAGCAATTTGAGCTAAACCATATATAGGGATTGGTATTTTCATGCCTTAAGCGATAAAGACCATTTATTTCACAATATCACTATGCAGTGTTAATTGCTATGTCTTTTTTCTTAATCTAATTTCGATCAGTCTGGGAAGTTGTGGATAGCGTCGCGAATTGAGAAGTGCAAGAGCCGAGTTCGAATTCAGCTCAAGTTCGTGTTATTCACGCGCAAATATATATGGGATTGGATCTTTTAGCATTTGCCCCTCAACTACCAAGAGAGGACATTTGGAACAACGAAAATAAATTAGTACCCTTATATGTTTGCCATTCATCTGGACACTGATTAGTTCTGCTACGTATTACTGGTCTGTTTCTTCAGCTATGTATTTAGAAATTCTTGGCAAAATCAAAAAGAAAAAAAAATCTGCAATGTTAACGGTCCTGATCTGGCATCCCAGCTTTACTGTATTTTCCATCACCGTAGCATAGCTTCCCTTTGTTCATTTCTATAAATATCTCCATGGCTATTGTTCCGTTGTACTTTCTTTGTCGTTACCTCGAATTTATGAATTTAAGCATAGTAGCAAATTACTACAAAAGGATGCACGGTGGAGTAATGGATAGCGGCTTGGATTGAGGAATCGGAGAGCCGAGTTCGAATACCAGCCGAATCCATTACATTCACTTGCGTGTTAATACTCTTGGGAAAGGTGTGAATCCTCTTCTTATCCACCCCCCCAGCTATGTGTAAAATGCAGGACAGACCGGGTTCTATAGCCTTGGATGGCAACTAGTCTACGGCAAAAAGAAATGGCAACCTAATGTGGGAAAAAATCTGCACCATCAGTCATGTATCGAAAGATACATGATCACCTAAGAGTGTATCACGCATGGCACACTGAGTGATTAAATTTGTAGGTAGATTTCATCATTTTAAACCGTAAGTTCTATTCTAATAGCTTCTTCTCATACTTCTGTTTGGAGGAACTCTCTTCCAGGTGCGTGCTTTCCTGTCAACTACAATCTTAAAAAATGTAATGCTACGTCAATCATCATCTTTTCTTTTTACAATGATCTAAGACCCAAGATCCAGTCGAGGTAGAAGGTAATAGAGTAAGAGGCAATGTGTTAAATATTACGGTTAACGCTTGAGTT